TAAAAGTTCACATTTTTGCGCTTTTTTGTTTAGAAGCATTATCAACTATCAGGCAGATCTTCTAACTGCTTTTTCTAGGAAGTGAGTACAACATAATTATTGTGATATCACTGCTTTTTACACCTACATGTAATTAATTAGGATAATTATTTTTGATGCGTGGGAGTACAACCTGTCTCATTCAATGCGCTTTCCAATTGATAAACATGTAGGAACAAGAATTTTACATCACTTTCTTTTAAAGTGACAAAAACGACTTAATATATCACTCTTAAAAAAATATCATTTATTATCATTATTTTTCGACTACTTTAGACTCCGATTTCAATAATAATAACAAACATCATGAAGTTGCAGTGTTTTATGTAACCAACAAAATTCAGCACTAAATTTTACAATACAATTTTTCTTTTTCTTATTACTTTGTTACCACTGGTTCAAAAAACATAATCTTTTTCAGACTTTATATTGTCGTTTAATTACAAGTCCATTCATTTTTAATAGCAAAAACCTTCCAAAATAGCCTAAAACACAACGATTTTCCTAGACCGTAGCGACAGTTTGTTGGCCTGCGCCGACGCAGCACCGGAAGAGCAGTGACCAAAGTCGAAGCCAAATTCGGCCGCAACGGGACTCTCGCTGAAAATTAATGGCACCTCCGATTTAACAGCTAGATGAGCCAGTGCCACTTCCGCGGCAGCACAACAATGTGGATTTTAACTTTATGAATATGTATGTTCTTACAGCTAGGCAGTGCATACCTATCTACATACAAATACAATAGAGTACCTATTATCCAAAACGAGGCTGACAATGATGATAAAATTTTGGGCCGCCTCTATAACTCTGCACTGGGGTAGACGTATGAAAGAGTTTAGTTTGTTACCTAAATACCAAAACAATAATTTTAGTATCAAACCCAATACCTAGTATCTACAACCTAGTTATGAAAAATATCGACAATGACTCACGAGTCATAACACAAATATATTTTTAAATACGTAGGTAGGAAGGCTAAGTGAAAGTGGTCCATGTCTGCAAAAAGCTATACATCTTTTTTTTGTTAAATTTTTATGGTATGAATGATGAGGGCCAGCCAAAAAATATAATTTGGAATTGAGTATAATAGATGTCGACATCTTATTGTTTAAGTGCCAAATAAGGCACAATAATTAACGTGTTTGTTTATATTTGGGTGCTCTGAACTACTCTACTTAGCATTTCTGTTTTAGCTTTAATAGTTAGTGACAATTAAATATTATTCTACTTACCTACCAGATTAATTAATAATTCTTACCCAAGTTACATGCATTGACCTAATAAATAATTAATATTCCACTGCAATTCAATTATTTGTAAATTACTTACAAAATACCTATACCTATTGTAGTTTAAGTTCGCCGGGTCAGCTAGTAGGTGTTTCTCAACGACTTTCCTAATCTAAATCGAATTGCTAAACCAAACTCATTTAGTGAGATCGGATGCGGACGATTTGGGGACAAACAAAATGTCCTCATGTTTTCGTCTGACCACAGACTCGTCTATCAGCAATAAACTCACCCTCTACGGAGGGTCTCGGAATTTAATTACTGCTCGTGTCCACTTTTAGGGTGACCATGTATTTATTATTTATGTTAGTTTTATGGAAATATTGCTTCAGTCATCACATCATAAGTAACACGAGACGAAAAGCATTTAGATTTTATTTAGCGAAATAGAGAATTTTCATGAGGAAAAATGTTTGAAATTATGTTCATAAAGGTATTTTTATATTTTTTACAAGAATTATTTACCAAAAGCTGTTTCTGAGAAACCCTACTATACATATTTTGAATTTGAGCAAAATCTAGATCAAAATCAATCTATGAAACAAATATAATTTATTTATTTATTTATTTATTTATTTATTTAGGAAAACCAGGGTTTTACAGGAAAGGAAATTTTTATAAAGGAACAAAAGTATATTCTTCTGATCCATTCCATCCACCTTTCGTTAAAACTCTATTATCTGGCAAAAACAATTTAAAAGTTCACCCCAACAACATAAATTAACCGACTGTCCATTTAGAAACCCGAAACCATGTAACCCTATCCGCACCAGCTTAGCGGCTCCTGAGAGATTAACGTCGCTGCGGTGTACATCCACGCTCCAAACGAAATTAATAACCATTCATTACCCCTATAGCCTCCGTCGTTAGCTGGACCTACCTATCAAATGAACTTATGGTGATTCGTGTCAAGACCGCAACAAACTGGCTATTCAAGAAATTACGAGCTAAAACTATTAAATGATTCGATACCTTACAGTATGCGCGCGCGCACGCGAGCGTTTAAGTGTTTTAACGGGCGTAAAAATCGATAAGAAAGGGTGCCTACATGTAGTTCTTGCATTGTACAGTCGACAGCACATCAGACTGTTACTTGCTGTTACATGTTAAATAGCTCTTATTATAACAGCACAAGATGCAACTAAGTTTAGCTTGATGTGCTAACTTCTACATAGTACTTAGTATGAGCGATGCGAATCACACGCTCGGGCGGATATCCGCAACGGTACAGACAGAGCGCGCTCATGCGCCTATAGACAAGCGCCAATGAGAATTTGTTACCATAATAATTTGTAGCAAATAATATTTCTTAATACCTAAGCAATTATTAATACGTAATAATTTCTTCGCGCCGCTGCTGCACCGCTAGAAGTAGTGATAAACTTCTATAGTTACAACTCAATTGGATTTTCAGATTTCTATAAAAATGTAGTCTACATTATTAATAAACTTACTTCTAAAACAACAAACTTCTAAATCATGCCTACATACAATTACACAATACCACAAGGTATTTACTGATTAGAATCTAAAACAGCACTGTCTTGATTTTTTGTTCATCGAACTTATATTCCGACCTTGACTCATGATTGGCATTAAAACCACCATTCAAATAAAAAGTAACGACCTGCAGTAAAAAATATATGACTTATACTATGTATAAGGACCCTCTTAACCTTACATAGTGGCTGGTAGGTTAAAGCAATGCATTAAAAGCCCTTTGATCACCGGACGTTGGTTATTTGCCGACCTAAGCCCACGCCGTGTGGGAGGCAAAACGTGGCCACTGTTTGTACTCTATACATGGTAGTCTTAAGTCCATAGTTCAATAAATTCAGCCAGTAGATGCTGAACTCTCTCACAATACCTAATTAATTATTTACTTCTGACTTTATTGCTCAGGCTGTAATTAGCACTTAATGACGCAGGAGTAGGCTATCAAAACAGAAGACTTACTTAATTGAATTTGGTTTTATGTTAATTATTTTCTTTTGTTTTAAAGTTAATAGAATTCATTACGGTAATGTATAAGTATAGTTAAGGCTTACTTACCTACCAGTAAGTAAGTATTGTCTTATCTCGAGACTGTCTTCACTATGAAGATAGTCTGCTCTAGTTTTTCTGTACCCTAACTCCCATTGCCCACTTTGACTTAGAAAAGTAGATTAAACGGCTTGAAGGATATGAGCATTCATTAATTCAGTTGTATCTAAATATACCATCAAGTAGGTACGTAGGTACTCTTAATTGGTAATATATTGGTAATATATACTAGAATACTCTGTATTATTTTAACGATGTGGATGTTAAAGAATTTATTAATCATTTCCCAGTCGGTTTTTAATTATAAAAATAACTAGGCATATTAAATCATTATTTTATATAATAATAATATGTTTAGACACCTACATTCGAAGGCACTATGTATTTTACATAAATTATTGACTTGGCCATCGCACTAAATAATTTAATTTACACGTGTTTTCATGCGATGGCCAAGTCAATATATTTATGTAAAACGTTAAAGATTTCCTGGCCTGGACTTGGTATTACATGGATCTCACAACTTTTTTCCGTATAACAACTGAGTTGCGAGACTTGGATTTTTTGACAAGTATTGTTTTTGATGGGATCTCATTTCTTTTTACAAGCTTTTTATTANATATTACCTATCATCGTACCTTGTAGTAGGCTTATTAATTGGAAGAAGTAGCCACAATTAACTTGAAGAAATACATTTAATAGGTTCATTAATACTTCCTGAAATAATAATTACAGTATTTAATTGATAGGTTCGTTAAAACCAGTTAAATAAAATACACTTTAACTGTGTCCTCCTTTTAAATTAATTATTCCACAAATCGCTCTACTAGGGGTTATAAATTTTGTAATTAATTGTGTTTATTGGCTGTCTCTCGTAAATATCATTTAAAAACTGCTGTGGCACGTTACATAACTTATTACGGTAGATAGAATAATTTGTAACCAGAATTGGGTTATTCCGGTTACCTACTAACTGGTATGTAGTTAAAATAATTAAACGATAGACGGTCAATTATTAATTCAAGAGTAAGTATTTTTTTAACTACGCATTCTTGAACGACAGATGTAATATTATGTACGAGTATGTCCTACGAGTACATAATTGCCTTGCTGATACTAAAACTATTGAGTGATGTTATTTTCTTTCAATATCCCGGGCTCTAACCTTTAAGTCCTAAAGTGTACTAGCAGAGAAAAAGTTCGCCTTATCTACGAACGATACGGCACATCGAAATATTAAGGTTATCTTGTGGAACTTTATTTAGTCGCAATAGGTGTGACTTTGCAATACAGTAAAACAATGTACCTAGGTGTATAGTCTGATATTATGATGTGGTCTGTACTCAAGAATTAATATTACATCTATACCTATAATAAAACTCAAAGGTGACTGACTGACTGACTGACATAGTGATCTATCAACGCACAGCCCAAACCACTGGACCGATCGGGCTGAAATTTGGCATGCAGGTAGATGATATGACGTAGGCATCCGCTAAGAAAGGATTTTACGAAACTCCACCCCTAAGGGGGTAAAACGGGATCCACGCGTACGAAGTCGCGGGCGGCCGCTAGTTTCTACATAATAATGGCAGCTTAAAGTTATAAATGCAATTTCCATCATTCCAGGTCCTAAAAGATGGGTGCGCCAGCATGGGGCTCGCGCGGCGGCGGCGACCGGCCGCGACTCCTGCGCATGACGCCGCTGAGGCACAGCTTCGCCGCGCCCGCGTCCCCGCCCGCGCCGCCCGCCCGCACACACGACTACGCCTCCGATGCGGACACTAACAAGAAAGGTGGGGAAGTGTTTGCTTATGTAGTTGTCGATGACAAACAAATGTTAGTCATGCAAGCCTGGTTCTCACGTTACATTTTCATACCGGCTTCTGTGTGCTTACCATGAGTTTACGTTAGGTGTGCTCGCTAGCGACTGCGTAAAAAAATGACATTTAAATGTATGACATATGGTGCCAGTGCAGCACCCCTAGCGGCTACTTTCAAGAAATAAAATCTTCATATAATTTTTTGACGTATTCGCCAGCGAGCTCACCCAACGTAAACTCATGGTAAGCACACTGCTCGTACTTCGTTGCTGCTTGTGAGACAATCCAAACACTGATCACAAAATCTAAAAAAATCCTTTACAAATCCCATTATAAAGTAATAAACCTCAGGTTAGCAGCCGCTGGATGCAAGCCGCTTCCAAGTGGCTATCATCTAATCTGCAATCATCGGGGCAGGCCTATATTCAGCATTGGACGTTCTGTTGCTGAATAGTTAATGATGATTACGATTAAAGTAATAGACAGCAAGAATCACTTAAGCATTTATAATATTACTCGTAGTAAAAAATACAGGTTCCGATGACTAAAACATCTATCTTATCTATTTCAGAGGACAGCTGGAACGCAAACCTGTCACAAAGATGGAGGAAACTACGGCGCAGATGTTCCAGATTACGCCCTGGTTCGGGAAACCGTGAACCGAGCCCTGTACGATGCTCGCCTTCGCCGCCTAGACCACCACCCCACTGCTCCCCCGCCCCACCGTCAAAACTGTCTTTCAGACACCGAGGAAAAGTATACACGACAGCATCCCTCCGCGTTACCAGTGGTGCACCTGATTTATTAAGAGCCCTCGGAAAACTAGGTGGAGGGCTGAGGAGGCGAGCGTTATCAGCGCACGACGTGCTAGCACCGCCCCAGCAGCAGCCAGCTACATTCTATGTTCCTAGCCCGACAGCTGTCCGACAGCCAGCATCACCTTCTCCACCTCGACAATCTGCAACATTGAGGAGGCGATGTAGCTCCCCAAACGTCTACAGAGCGAATAAAGGTTCTCCTGCGCCTAGGGAGCGGACGCCTTTGATAAATCAAGAAGATGAAAGTAGAGACGTTGTTGATTTCACATACGTCCCTGAAAGGAGAAAGAATAGCAGCGAAGGGAGAAGCAGGAGGCCGTATAGTGAGAACGTAGAGTTAGATGTGCCAGTTTATAGAAATGGTTACAGCCGCCTTTCATCAGAAGCGTCGCAGCGGCTGTGGGAAGAGCCGTACCGACTACCTCGCGTGCAGGCTCGACAGGAGCCAATGCAACAGTTACGCAACTGTGTAGCGGAGCTTCGCGTGAGTGCAACGCCAAGATCTGCACGACCGCCGCCTGCGCCGCCGTCAACGACCCAGAATAAGCGACCCCCGGCACCTGAGCCGAGAGACTCTCACACGTTTGAGGTAATTGCTAGTTATGTTACGCTTCGTGATGCATCTAACACTTCTTTAACTTTTTATTCGAAAACGTTTCTGAAAACAATGAAAGCTACTGTATAGACAGGAATAATCTAACGTGCAATATTTACGTTTCAGGTTCGATTTACTAAGTCAGCTGGCGGCAAGGGGCTTGGGTTCAGCATAGTTGGAGGACGCGATTCTCCACGAGGTGACATGGGCATCTTCGTAAAGACTATATTCAACAATGGGCAGGCAGCTGAATCAGGATTACTGAGAGAAGGTAACACTCACCTTAAAAAATTATAATTTATTTATAGTAATTTAATTGCATAACGGTAAATGTTTAAATTGCATGAATGTTTAACCAATCAGCTTTCCACCAGTCCCGTTATCCATCTCATGACCAATTTTATCTTAAAACGATCCTTTGTCTATATTTTATTATTCAATAGTTGCATTTTCAAGCACGCTAATGATAGAAAGGTGCAGCGAAATTCCTCGAAGGCGGTTACGCGCAGCTGCAAGCCGGCGCAGGTCAAACCGTAGCACCTGCCCTTGTGCTATTAATATGTCATAAAGGTTACATTATGTCACATTTGCTAATCGACACAGCGAATGGTGTTCCAAATTTGGTATTGGGTAACTGTAAAACTTCGCAGTAGATAAATAGCTCGATTAAATTGTTTACGGCATTGTTAGCCTTACGTTTACGTTTAAGTTACCTTTCACCATGGTAGAACGTACGAGTTATGGTGTTGCACATTAAATTTAATGACATGAGTATCAAACAATAAAAACTGATGCAACAACAATAAAAGGTAGTCGTAATTGACTTACCTATTAATTACAACAACTTTTCAGGAGCTTTTCACTTTGCATCGATCATTTTCGTTTCTTACCAATTTTAAACATACTATTTATTTTATTTAATATCCATTTGATATTCATATGAATAACATTGTAAATTTTTAAGTTACACGTTTGTAAAACTTTACTCGTAATATTGCATTAAGTCCGCCTTATTATTTATTTTATTTATTTAAAGACTTTATTGCACACACAACAATGTTCTGTACAAAAAGGCGAGCTTAATGCCATACGTCATTCTCTACCAGCTAACCTTGAGCAAAACAGAGATATTTATGTACAGTTTAAATACATACAAGTTTTAAATAAATAATATTGAACTAGACTTTTCTGTTGAAAGATGTACAGAGGTATAACTTAGTTAACTAATCGTAATAAATCAAGAGCTGCTTGAAAACTATTTAGGAACCCATTTAACAAAAGTCTTAATCAATTTCAGGTGACGAGATCGTGTCAGTGAACGGTCGTGGCACTGCAGGCCTGACACACGGTGAGGCCATCAGGCTATTCAAGGACGTACGCGCTGGCCCAGTGCTGCTCAGAGTGGCTCGGAGGTCTCCTGCGCGCTGACTGCCCTGCGCCTGCTGCGGTCAAACCGCGCAGGCGCCTAACTACTCCACTTTGTAACCATTAAAATGTAACACGACATATTTAACGCGTTCAATGAAGCCAAGGATTGGCAGTCGAGACAGTGCCACCATTTTGAAATGGCTTAAAAAGTAATTAAGGTGTGCCCTTGATATTAATGCAACATAAGGTTGTATAAAGTTATGGCGGTATTAGGAGAAACATTGCCTTTTCTGTAAAACATTAGGTAAATAATTTTCGTGTACGAGTATGATAGTCCACTACATAATTTAGTGGTCGTTTTTACTGATCGATCACACATGACTGACCAAAACTACAACTAGATGAACTAGATTACCCGCTCCGATAGTAAAATATTTAATGGTCAAAGACTATGAATGTAAAGAGAAAAACAGATATCATCCATTGAAAAGGTTAGTTCACCTCTGCCACATAGAAAACACAAAAACCGAAAAGAAATATTTACTTACTTAAGATCTGTATGTAACTTTTCTCGTCTTTTAGACGACGACTAAACTTATATCAAGTGTAACAAATAATATAGTGCCAAAGATCCTAAAAAAATGGTAACACTACTAAATTCTAACTAAAAAAGAAATAGGTAGGTACCTATCAAAGAGCATGATGAAAATATAAGGAAATGACATATTTGACAAAATTAAAATTAGTCTGTGATATGAAGATTCAAAAACAATGAAAATGTATAGATTTTGATAAGAATGAATATGTACGAGACTAATTTGTCGGTATTTATTAGATATATTCGTACCTAGATTTAGTCTGAAAGGATAGTGCCAGGGTCTGGACCAAGTGCTGCCCAGAATCAACCCATAGTGCATTTTGTTCCTCAGACCAATACTAATGTGTAAACCGAAGCGCACTGCAATCTATCCCTGGTGTTAAGAGAAAAAAAGAGTTTTGTTTTGAAATATTTTCATACAAAATATCATCGATGTATACGTACTACGCATACGATTTCGTGATTTTGGCATTAAATAACACTCGCTATGTTGAACTTAACCATACTGCATCCGTACACCTTACTTTAGTGCGACTTAGACATTCTTTATAAGCGATCTAGCGCTGTTGCAATAGTTTGGTTACTTGACAGAAATCATTATTTCCAAAACGAATCAAGAAGTTTTAGTTCTCTATCCTCGCGAAAAATCACTTTATTGGTGTATTACAATCGATTATTGAAGTTATTGTAAGCTAAAACTTCTTGCTCTATTTTGGAAATAATTAATTTCGGTCAACTAACCAAACTACTGCAACAGCGCTTGATCGCTTATAAATAATGTGGAAGTCGTTCTAAAGTAAGGTGTACGGATGTAGTACGGTTAAGTTTAACATAACGAGTGTTATTTAATGCCAAAATCGAGAAATCTTATGGGTAGTAAGTATACATCGATGATATTTTGTAAGTAAATAATTCCAAACAAAACTCTTTTTTTCTCTTAACTCCAGGGATAGATTTCAGTGCGCTCCGGTTTACAAATTAGTATTGGCCTGAGGAACAAAATGCACTATAGTTTCATTCTGGGCAGCACTTGGTCCAACTTCCATACATGGATTGGCACTGTCCTTTAGAGATAAATGTAACATTATTATATTTCATAGTTTATTGTATTTTTATATGATGTATGTACGGTTTGACTAATATCTGCCTTTAATAAGTCCACGCAATAAGTATTTCAAGAAGAAACACATTTGAAATATTGTCAATATTTTTTGATTCAGTATTGAAATATGTACCTACTTATACAAAAAGTAACTCATCTGATTATTATCTATTGAACTAAATACTATTTCAAAATTAATAAAATTGAGAACAAGATAGAATATAATTTCCTAAAGAACCTTCCAAGTTGCAAATAAGAATTCACATTATTCCACCAAAATGATGAAACAGAATCTTACTGGCTCCCAGGCCCAACTATTTACTATTTCATCATAAATATTTGGTCTATTCTCAAATGCTAATATTTCCTTTACAATACTTATTTGATAACTTAGCACAACAATATAAAAAGGCAAATCAAACAACCAAAAATCTAAAAAGACCTATTTTTATACTATAATTGAGAAAAAATAATGGCAACTACTTTACAAAATTTTAACTAAAATTTTGAAACAAAACTATTTTCGGAAGACATTATTATAAATTTTGCAAAGAAATGTGATAATTAAAGGCAAAGTGAATGCGGTCCAACAATGTGAGTGTAAGAATTCATCAGTAAGAAATATTTTTTGCATAGTTTTGAAAGAAAACTAGTTAAAGGGCTGGAAAAACTCAAGTTTCTCAGTCCAATTAAAAAAATACGTATGTCATGATAAATGATGTAAGTAACATACCTATCATTAAAATAGTGCTGTCATCGTATCTTTAAATGATTTGAGTTACATTAATAACATGTTCAACGAAATATAAAGAATAACTTAACCCATCGATATAACTGGCTCCTTATAGAATTTAAACAATAGTTAGCTGTGTAACAGCCAAATCTTTTAACTAATAAGTGCTATCTCTAATCTTCTGATATAGAGATAGCACCAAGTCGTTTATTTCACTAAATGATTTACACAAACAGATCTTTCTAAAAATAGGTCCATTGATAGTTCGTTTTCTAAAATAACATGTACTTAGGTAACGGTTTAGGTAAAAACATAATGATGATTAACAACGCTTGTAAAGATTGTAGGTCATTTTAGAAAACATCAGGCAGCTGCCGTTAATAAAAGTATTTTTTATTCTGTCTGACTTATTAAATCGTACAATTATTACTTTTTTTAAAGATATTTTTGCTACTAAGTAAAATTGAATTAAACGAGCGATGCCGTATTTTATCTCGACTTTTATCATGGTAATACTATGTTCTCAAATTACTAAAAGATTTCATAGGTATACAGTTTATCGTTCGTTCGTTCGTTTCAGCCGAAAAGACGTCCACTGCTGGACAAAGGCCTCCCCCAAGGATTTCCACAAAGACCGGTCCTGCGCCGCTTGCATCCAGGTACTTCCCGCGACCTTCACCAGATCGTCGGTCCACCTAGTGGGAGGCCTGCCCACGCTACGTCTTCCAGCTCGTGGTCGCCACTCAAGAACTTTCCTGCCCCATACAGTTAATATTATTGTCTATTTTTATAAATATACCTAGATCTGACTAAATAAAATATGATTTCTATCAATGTTGCGCCTCTTGGATAGTAGTTTCGTAGGCCTCTTTAGTCTCTAATGTAAAACTATTATATATCCGTGCTACGGTTGTAGTAAATTAATGTTAATTTTAACATTAAAATATTTTTGCATTTGTCACAATATACAAACAACCTTCTAACGCTGTACAATAGCTTTAAATAAATTAATAAATTGGCACTTAACAGTTTTGTAGGTTTTTTATTTGATTGTGATTAACTTTGTGTCCTTCCGTGGTTCCGTACTACGTAAGCCATCTCCGGGCACACCAACACCGCCAAGACAACTAGGAGTCGGAGTGGTCGCCATGGCCGAAATCGGTTGGATGGATCATCATCAACATCACTACTATGTAAGTAATCTTATACGACCAATATGTCACGTATGTGTATACAGGGTGTTAGGTAAATGGGTATATGAGCCGACACTAGCCCATGTTAACATAGGCTTATAAATGGTATGGTGAAGTCAGAAATTTGATATCATCATTTTAATTTTTTATATTTTCATACAAAATAAATTTTATAAAATCCGATTTGTATGAAAATTAAAATAACTAAAATGAAGATATCAATTTTGTGACTTCACCATACCATTTATATGCCCATGTTAACATGGGCTAGTGTCGGTTCATATACCCATTTACCTAACACCCTGTATAAGTCAAGTCAAGTCAAACAGAAAGAAACACAGAAAATCAAGAGGCGAGAAGAAAAGTCCACATGGCGGTATCTCTGCAGACCATACGAAGCTCAGATCATCGGAGATACGAATAGACTGATGCTGTTCTGAAGCTGCTCACTGCTTTATAATCAAAAATGTTTTTTTTTATATAGACATCAGGCCTCCCTAATCCGGCTGAAAAACGTAGTGGTGACATAAAGCTAAACCCTCTATTTGTATCTAGTGTAGAGAGGGTCGTTTCTGTTCGTGGTAGTGGTCGCCTAACGATCGTCAAATAACCTGATGATGATGATGATGATGATGATCTTTTTATTTACCCTTCGTTTTAAAATAAGAACAGCCATGTTCATGTATAAAGAGTATATTTTATTTCAATCAGAAATACAGATATTTTATATTAAACAGGTAGATAATAACATTTCGTTGATGTTCTCGATGTTAAAAGTATACACAGACTATAACTATGACAAGAATTAGTACAAAACTAATAATAAAAAACAAATATTTACACTTGCCAACTTATAAATAGCAGATTAAAATAAAGGCTAAGATTAATAATACGATAAAATATATTATGGTAAGATACGGCTTTTTATAATTTAATCATGGCATAAAAATATTGAATGTGTTCTTCCCCTACAGTATGCAAGCATAAAAATACATTATGTATCAAATATTTTTTACTTCAGTCCTACAAAGTTTAGTTTCACTTCACTTCAAAGTTCACTGAGAAAGCTCAAAAAAGTTATGTGTATAAGTATTATGTATTGATTTGTCTTTATAATAACTGAATAAACATAAACAAAATATCTACCAATAATATCGTTCAAAGGAATAATATATTAAAGGGTTAAGAGTGTAACATAAATTTTATTCATGTTCCACACTAATGTAACGAATAGCACCAATTTACAATTATTTTTATGTCTTGACTATTGTAGGGTATTTTTGACTATTATTACACTATACACAAACTTATTTAGATATTTATGAAATGTAAATAAGTATCTGTATGTATACGTTCATATATTGTTAGTCTATACGTTACGATTTTGCATATTATGTTTAGGTATACATGGAATACATTATTTATGTAGATGTATCATTATTTTATTATATTAGGTTGAAAAGGAATGTAAAAGGCATTCTGAATTATAATTTAAATAATAATTTATTAGACCAATATAATCTTTAATGTAGTTCGTTATGAATTACAAAAATGTCCTTGCATTCGATTACAGATCTAAAAGTGATTTTTGTAAAAGATGGCACTCAAAACTACATCAAAGAAATTTTGAAACTCGTAGTGTACTTTAAGTACCAGCGCTACGTCATTGCAGCTAACTGCTGTAACAGCTACTGTCCCAGACTAGTACTAATTCTAACGAATTTATAAATAACTCAACAAAAAGATTAGACGCAGTCTCAGTCTCAATTTGTTTATTCCACTTACTCGAGGCAAGGTGTAGCGCGCCAACCCGAGCACCTTATTGACTAACGAAGTGAGGCTGTAGGTGCGATTTACTGGAGCGTTTGCCGCCTCTCTCGCATTTCGCCAAATTGAACATTGTTAGCAATCAACATTTTTTATCCTTCGGCAAACATTCGCAAACAAATGACTCTTGTTAGCCTGAGCGTTAACGAAATTCTGAAAGGTGTTCACGTGTCACCGGGCTAATTCGGCCGTGGGCGGGCGGAA